CAGCAGTGGAAAAGGAGCAGATGGCAATGACAGCGAAACCGGTTCGAGCGCTCCCAGCAGCAGTCTCAACCTGTCTCAGCTGTCAGACATCAGCATCAAGCGAAATAGTGAGGGAAAGATAGTGGTGGGGGATTCACCTCACAGTTCTCGAGCAAGTTCCGACGCAGATGATATTCCACCTCCCCCTAAGCCAGCTGTGGAACCAAAGGCCAGCGCCAAAACCAAGGTTGCCAAGCCTGCTGCAGACCGAGTGCCTGACATTCGTTTCGATTACACTGCCAACGGTTCAATCCGCTACAATGTGAAGGCTTGCAACCTAGTTGCGCACTGCGCCTTCCACTCTGGAAATTGCAGGAGGACCAGAACCGTGAACCCTCCTCAATCCGCCCGTTCAAACCAGTCTCAGGGCAGGCCGATCGGATTGCTTGCCAGTTGGCTTGAGATGGCTGAAGACTTTAAAGACGCTTCTAGCCACAGTTCCATGCGCAGACCAACGCTCGAGCAACGGCAAGATGCTCGGGCCAGACTAGAGGCGATGGAGGGTGGTGTTGATTTTGCACTCACTTATGAAAGGCCAAAGAGGCCTGACGAGGACCCAGAGCCACCTTCCATGACCTAGACCGACCTACAGATTCAGATTTGACAGGCAGCTGCTTGTGGGAGTTAACCAGTTAACCAAGCCTTCAGATCGCAAAGACAGATTGACCTTTCTGGCCGGCCGCAAAGAAGAAAACAAGTCGTCTTGATGGAAAGGAAAGGGGAAGGTGAAAGAGGGATTCCAACCACAGGTCGTGGGGTGGGTATTCCCACCACATCAGATTCAAGACTTAAGATTTTTGCTACCCACAAAAAACCACAAGCAAGATCCTACAGACGGTAGATTGTAGATTCGTAGATTTTGAACCGGCAACGCCGCATGCATTTTTTAATAAGTGTTTCTTGAACATCGGGCTTACAAAGTTGTTTTATCGCTCCCATTGATGACGCACCCAGGCGCATCAGTTGGCCAGACCAGAAAGCACTCAAAGACCTGGATCTTTGGTTGTAGTCCAGTGCGGCTGTGATTAGGCCCTATCCGATCCTTTGCGTGGGCCCCAAGCCAAGCTCAAAGATGCCCAAACCGCTGTCAGGATCTACCTCATCTTCGTCCGCAAAGACATGGGAGGGGCCACGACCATGCAGAAGGTTATGGACACGATTAAGGAGCCTCTCGGTATGTTGTTCACATGACTTCCTGGGGCTTAGTTATACAGTTATGGATCATTGAGTACCCCTTTCAAGGGAAGAAATAACATTCTTTTGAGTTTCAAGCGAATAGAAAACAGCAACGCAACCGGGGTGATGGGGTCAATGTTGCAGCCAGCAGCAAGTCGACCACAGAAGTAGACTTCCGTATGTGCCAAAAATCAACCAGGAAAACTACATTACAAACAGTGCCTCATGTGGTATAGGTAGCGTACCACTCTACCAAGCCTTTCCTTTTTTGTGGCCTTGTCGCAACACAGCTCATCCCCGAAAACAACTTGCGCAGGCCATTTGTGATGCTCGCTCTACTTATCCGCCAGTGGATTGTCTCGACATCATGATGAGCAAAGCGGAGTACGAGCAGGCGACAACGGCAGCTTCAGCAACTGCAGTGCCTTGCATCCTTCCTATTCAGGCCACACATAGGTGTTTCCGGTTTGGCGGGTGGGTGTAGGGGCTGCACCCAGGTCAGCAGGAACAACACGGGATATGATTTGGCGATCGCGATCAGATAACCAGGGTTTGTGCTTGTTTCTGAACCTTGTTACAGTTATGCAATGGTCCAGGAGACATAAAACCACAAATGCCATAGACCGGCTTCAGACTCAATTTGAAAAGTCAATATACAAAAAATCAGATTCAGATATCTCACCCTTCTTGAGCAAGGTATGTTTCCAAGACTCCAGCCTTAAGTCCTTCAGCGTCATGACTTCAGAATTAAGCATGCGAGATACAAACCCATCACATTGTCGCCTGTCGCTTACCCGACTTGTATTTGTTGTGATCATCCTTTTAACCTAGGACCTAGGGCTAGGGATATGGCGCTTAGGTTTGCTCCTTCAAACTTAAAACGAGACAAGTCTT